TCGCATGTCACAAGACCAACAACCCCAAAACATAAAACTGAATTGGCTGAAATGTAATAATAGACAATCTGGTACAAAAGTTTAACTAAAGGTTTTATAAGAATCTCATGGTATTGTAAAGACTTAATGTGCAAGTCTTCGTAATAGATTTCTGAATCGCATGCTAAAGTTTGGTGTCAAAAGCTAATGACATATGACCAAATGGATCACTGGTAGATATTTGACATATTTTACATGCCGAAACTATACTGAATGCACCAAAAGTCAAAATGACTTATATATGATTTTTGTCTGTATCAACTGGCTAAGCAAAAATTAGTTGCAACGGTGTTTACTAACAAGCTTAGTGTCATCTTGCTAAACGGATGGCCCAAGTTCTGCATAACTTGTATTCTGTTTCGCTGAATAAATTAACAGTCAGGGAAATATTACATGTGACCAATTCCAAACTAAGCAGTGATTTGCTACTGACAGATGTACAAACAATATGTAGGCTAAATGCTCAAAATATACAGCCTATTAACCCCTCCAAAGTAGCTATTTATAAAGTCAATGTACCTTGACCAAATACTATCGGACGTCGATATACAAGGAAATGATCATTAAGTTATAATTATGTGAAAGGTGTAAACCAAGACAGAGTACCTCTTAACGTGGATGAATTCTGCTACAAATTGTGTTACACAGGATTTGGTAGTTTATCAGAATTATGAAACAATATAAGGTTATCCAGAAAATAAGTTGGTGAGCGTCCCGGTAAGGCGCTCTCACCATTATTATTGTCACCAGTAAGGTCTCTAGTAATTTATGAATGAACAATGAACAATGAATTTATAAGGGTTAAGAAGCGTTGCTTTACAAGTCCCGTTGGATAGTTGCAGGGGATATCAACATAACAATAATGATGATAAGGATAGTAAAATAGTTAATACTTTAAATATGAAAATAAGGACTTATCGTTTGCTTCGCTGCAGTCCTGCGATCCTCTTAGATTCACAGCACCCACAGTTAACAACAAGTAACTCCATGATAAACTCCAGGTGTAGGATGGAGACGTAGTGTTAAGTAACAAAGTGTAAGTGGATGAATGCATCGTCCAACCGTCTTTTAAATACTGCTAGTGTCGGTGTAGAGACGACCGATTCTGGGAGAGCATTCCACGGGTGACAGACACGAATGGAAAAGAAATTTCTGCGGCACTCCAGACGACTGTATTGTTCTGCGAGTTTTAATGAATTTTAATGAGTTTGAATGAATTACACAAACATACCGTTTGATAGCTACTCCGATCACAGGAGAATTTATGCCATTTTTTAGATAAGTGCACGTCGTGTTTTTGATTCCGATAAAGTTTTGTTGGTTATCACCTAGCAATGAGAAGTGACCATAAAATTTAACTTCATCCTACTGCTTTGCCATATTTGTAAAGTCAAAACATTTACCGAATCGGCTACTACAGTTATTAATGAATTTGATATTCCAAAATTTAAAAGCAGTAGCAAATATCCTATCTAGAACTTTTAATCCATCAATATTAAAGATAACATTTGTTTAACATTACCAGAGCAGCATATAAGCTTGTTTCTAATGAGATAAAAATCGGGATACCCAAAAATAAGAACGTCATTCTATAAGCTTTCTGCTGGATGCTCCTGGATGCAACTCCGAATGTGGTTGTGAGGTTTTACCGTTACATTGTTATCAAATGTGGCAAAATACTACCATTCTTGCAGAACTAACCTGGAATGCAGATTCTTTTACCAGATGTAACATCGCCAGCCATAATGTCCGTTACCACTCAAATGTTGTGGTACGCAAATTGCTTCACACGTAGGTCCAAACCGCCCATCAGGACATTGTGCCCAAACAGATATTTTCAAGGTTGCAGAACCCGATTTCAATTTCCCACGGACTAAAAGCTCTTTTGGTGCATAAATGCTGCTAACTTCTCCCAATCGTTCAACAACGCCAGGGGAAGGATAAGATGAAACCGTGAAACCATCTAGTCGCAATGCACCTAAATGATCATCTGTATCGATCGGGGGGAAATCGGCATCAAATATATCAACATAAAGGTATAAGGCACTCTTACCAAACAATAAATAATAAATGTATTTACCGGGAACCCACTGAAGTGGGTGGTAATAGGATTAGGCTTATTCCCAATCACTGCGTCGAATTTAACAAATTGTGTGTTGGGGTATAAAGAACTTTCTGTGAAGTGCAGAATATTGCAAACCGACCTTCCTTTGTAAGTAAAATATGCATACTTGTTACGGACTTCTCCCAAACATATTCTTAAATATGGATCACAATTGTTTGGCGGTAAACCGTGATCACATACAAATTATTTACTTCCAAAACAAGGCTTATTAGCTTTAAATGTACAGTTACAGCGCTCCCCACGGCAATTAACTTAAGTTTTGTAAATTTATCAGTTTTATTTACCCAACTAATCTTGAAAACAGAAATGTATGGTTTAGGAGACATAAAGGGTAGTACGAAATAGCCCCGGAAAGGAAGGTATGACGTGCGCCTGACTGCGAATAACTTACGTTACGGCCTAAATAGCTATATTAAGCAAGGAATATTGTAGCTTCAAGGTCGATGTGACGACGCCAGCCCCGTGAGCTATGGTGTGCCGTAGTTTGTGAAGGGTTTATATTATTGTGCTGTCAAGTACATAGTGAGACATCTTAATTGTAATTATTTTCATTGATTAATTTTTCACATTGCTAATGTATTATTATTGCTTCGCATCGATTTCCCATGCAGCTGCAACCATTGCAATTCAAATGCCTAACTGCAATGAAATGGAATTCTTTTGACTAGGTACCTAGTATGTACAGTACCCTACCGTCGTTATCTGATCCTTTTAACTTATGTTAGAATGTACTGTGTCCACTCTCCTCTATAACCTTTCAGATGTTCCGGGCAACTCATGGTTTTTGTAGTACACAAGATTAGGAGCAAACGGTCCCGAAATTGCTGATGAAAACGTTTGATGTTGTTGCACCTAACTAACGTTATAACACGTATTTGGAAAGATATTAATAATGAGGTAAAACATCAAATATGGCAAATGTATCTTGAATATGTGTAGTTACGTATGTGGTGTATGCGCATGGTATTATGTATACATTTTCTATATAAGGTATGCGTAAATGATTTTGTGCTGGGAACAAAAGAAGTTGCATATGCTAGTTATTTACTTTATTTACTCATATTATTATTTTGTTTTATGTACGTATATCATTATTATGTATGCACCGCAAACTAAACAAATAAATGTTGTTTTTGTACGAAATTAATAATCACTATTTTACATATACAAGGCGTAAACGTAACAATATACTAATACTAAATAAGCAGACATAATATTTGGAGAAATGTACCCAGTTCATTGCGTATAAATGCGTTCTGCTTTAAAATCATTGCTCTCTTCAACCTGCTATTCTGCTGCACTACGTTGCTCTCCCTAATTATTGTTTCCGCGGATCCGGTCCACACCTGCCTCCCGCATTCCTGTTCGAACCCTTTGTAGCATGCGCCTTGCATGACCTCAACTAAGGTTATTGAAGTGCCCAGCGGTTACAGGTGGTATAAACAACTGTAAATTTAAGCTCTAGCGTTAGTACTACAGGAATAATAGTATATACTAGTCATTGTTCCATTGTGGCAGCTTCTTTGGTAAGGATAGCCATTGGCGAAGTATTTTATCCTTTACACGTCTGAAATCAACACGCGCTTGCCACCATAGGCAAAGGATCTCCGCCCAGCTGCTTTTCGCTAAGTGTCTCCACTACGACGTCCATGTGAAGCGGATTAAAACCTAACGGATATAACTGAATTGAAACTAAAGAGCTTCTAGCAATAAACTCTATCTTGCACTAAATTTCGTGGGGATTATAGCGGTTTGAGAGGTGGTAGTTATGGATAAGATATGGAGAGGGAAGTGTTGTGGTTGCAAACCTAGGTTATACACTCGATGCCGAATTTATTTTCTTGTAGGTGACAACACCTTATTTGCAGTTAGGTTATACGGGAGAATGCTACGCTATGCCGTAACCATCTGTTACCCATTTGCCAATTGGAGCTGTATATTTGCAATCCCAATTGATGACCTTAGCGCAATGGTAATCTATTTGAGGGAAGACGCTAAAGCTGTTTCATATTGCTCCGTCAAGATACGATGGCCACTTGGCAGGTTCTCGGATGCCATCGGCAGCGAGGCGGAAAACACCTGAACTAAGCTGTCACAGGAGAGGATAGTTAGTCCAACTCATCCACCATCCTTATACCGACGCTTAATGCATGTTTCGCCGTCATATTATCTTGGATTATGCAGTGGTTGAGCCCGTACGCAGAACTGCTGGTTGGTGCTGATGAAATGTAACTGCAGTTCGACACGCAATTCCACCCGTAGGATTCCCAGTGAACCTGAACTCCTCTGCAGCCTTCTG